TTAGTTAAAATCTCGATAATTTTAGACCGAAAAAATTGTAGAGCAACATTTTATTAGGTATAAGCCAGAATGGATGTACGTCTTGAATGGATGGAATTGCGTTCTGTTTTAATTATAATTATCTTTTGTTACATTTAATCTCAAACGGAAGCAGTAATTTTGTTAATTGCTTTAATTGAAGTCACATCCAATTGAAAAAGTAATACATACGTGACCAGCTAGGTAACTTTAGCGCTCCAATTTTAATCACGTCGGTGCGGAGTAAAATTTACTGAATGCGTTGTATCGCTAGACATTCAATTAAACAATTTATGGTAATTTTCCAAATCAAAATGGATTTACTACTTTCGTTTGTAATTGCACAATAATTCCTGATATTAGATTATATTTGATTTGATAAATTAAAAAAGTTATTCGAGATCACAGATCGACTTTAAGTTCGATGAAGAATTTATAACAAAAGATATTTTTTACCCCGATCCTGAATATATTTCTTTTGTACATGCGACGCCAAGTTCTTCATCTAACAATAAGAAAGATCTGTGTATAAACGGTGTTTGAAATGTAAATTTAATTGAAACGTATACGCGTCCGGCGCGTATAACCCACTGGGAGTTATCATCTCGTCCGAGGCATTGTTCTCGATTTTAAGCCGTCCTGAATAACAGGCGCCTGTAAGTGCCCTATGATTTACGATCGACCCAAGCCGATCGGATCGTGCGCGCAAATCGGCGCGCGGTATCCTTCCGAAAATTACAGCGTCTCGGTATCCGCCATTCGTCATATCGCGATTAAGACAACGGCGATACAACGATTTGATCTTTTCAATTAACAAACTCCACGGTTTTTCGAACTCGCTCGAAGATGAAGAGATAGAGATGAAGAGATAGAGAGGGAGAGGGTGTTGCGTTATCTGGTCCAGACATTCCTGAAACGGCCGCAGGCTAGGTATGTACGCTATGCATGTCCGATAAACGTTTAAGACATTCCCTCCCTTTGCTTCAGAATCCCTCTCCAGCCTCTCCTTTACGTCAGACCTACGAACACTTTTTGTATAGTCTTCCCTCCATCGTCTTCCCGCCACTATCGGGTCGTATTATGCGCTGTCACGTCTTAATAAATTTACGACCTGGATCTGATTGCCTTCAGCCAAAGTCGTTGCCAATTTTAATATTAACCGGCGGGACGCGCGAAAGAGCGTGTCAAAAGTGGCGATATCTTAGCAAGGAATTACACGTCATAAATTTATGACGCTTATTATCGGTAACGGTACACGTATAACACAGATTCCAAAGAAATTAATCATACAAGATAGGTATAATGAATGAACCAAAATTATATAATATGAACAAATTATGCTGTCGATTTAAGATTACAAATTACTGAAAAAGAAAAATCTCTACTGTTGTGCTTGTTTAATATTTTTGCATAAGAGAGAGCATTATTTTATTATACGGTTGAGAAACATTATTTTCACGTTTTCGAGATTTACACTTGAAATCTTCTCAATTTATAACACTGATGTTATATTTTACAACTGATATTCGAGATTATGAACAATCGACGTTTGTTGTCACATTGTAATTGCCGACAGAAAATTTCTATTGATATGGCTTAATATCTCTTACAAATAAATTAATGTAACGCAATTCTCTCTCTAATGGTAAAACGTTTAAACATTTATTCTCGGCTCGTCACGCGTTCTTGAATGTTGTTTTTAAATCGAGGTAGAAAAATTGATGATTTACTGTGGAATCAATAGCAACAACAAAATACCCGCGGATATAGTTATTAATAAAATTACTCTTGTGTATGGCCGCATATTTGATGCTATTCACGTATATGTTCCATATATATATATTATATAAATACAACACATGCAAGAACACACATATATACACGTATATACACGTATATACACGCGCGTAAAACCCACGTAACCGACCTACCTCGTGACGACCCGCTTTTTATGCGCTAATCCACGGGGATCGATCGTTTAATCTGGATTAGAGTCGCGGGTGACGCGGGCTGAATAAGTAATCGGGCGCCAACTCTGCCGGATGTAATTTAATTCGTACGTACTCGTCTTCCTGCCATGGCTTCTCGTTCTCTCGCTTCACCATCCTGTGAATGTTCTTCTCCATTCTCCCTTGAAGCGTCTCGAACTTAATTGGCCCACGATAATTCGCCGCGGCCCTTCTACTGACTTACCGTCATAGCAAAATCCGGCAAACATAATTACCGTAGTATTGAGAAGAGTAACCTTGCTGCATAAATTATTAACGTTCCCACTATGCTTCCGCAAATTACATCAGTTAACGTAACAATGATTTTAAGTTTTTATATCAACGTCTCATCAGGAAAAAAGTTAATTCTTTCGCAACATGTAACATGAATATATAATTCTAATAATAATTTTACTTTATATCGCTTTACAATATCGTATTTTGATTGATTTATAAGTACGTATTAAGAAGGCTCTTCAGTTTTTTTGTATAATATAAGAATTTTATCAAATATTGAGAATAAGTTTGTAATTTAATATGTATAGGCATTCCTGAATTTTTTCAGATTTTTGGACTATATAATTTTCTTTAAATAATTTTCTTTTAAATTTTTTTTAATAATTTTCTAAAATAACTTAAATTCTTATGAGAAAGATGATTTTAAATAATTTGATTTAACAATTTAAAAAAATGAAATTTTATCATATCATTTTTGTGTAGGAGTATGAAATGTTCATCAATTCTCTTTAAATATGACACACTAATGAAATATGATAACATCGTTCCCATTAGAATTGTCAATATTTATAAAATTAAATTTAGATAAAAACATTATAAATTATTTTTTTCAATATTTTTCATATAAATATTCATTTTTATTATAAAAAAATATTTTTAATAACAAATTATAGTTTCACTGCTTTTAAATTTTATTCATTATTTATTTTTTAGAAGATGGCATGGCATTTTGCATCTTTTGTGCTTTCGTGTTAAGGAAAGTCACATGACTCTCTTCTAATTTTTTTAAGCTATAGAGAATTTTCTTAAATTATGCGTGTATCACTTATCAGTTTAAAGTAAAGCAAAATAGAGATAAATTTAAAAAAGATCGCGAGAAAAATATATAATTTAATCTATCCAATCATTTTATCAATAATGAATAGTCCAGATTTAAAATTTTTCAATTCTTATTCAAAGATATAAAAAAAACGCGAAAATAAAATTGTTTTATATCAAAACGATCCTGGAAAATCGTATTTAAAAAAGATTAATAAAGAGAGTGTAACGGTTGCTGATATCGGATTGATTTTCTTCTTATATATACCCTCCGATATATCGAACATATTGATCCTGCGGATCAAAGTATAGATGCACACACGCGTGTATCTTTGCTCGAATGTAGCGAAGTGCGTATTATCTTTACTCAAATAACAGGATGACGATGGAAAGACAACGTCTGCAGGCGTAAGATAAATTTGTTCTCGGTCGATGTGTTAAAACGAGATCCCTTTGACCGGATGACGTTGCTCGATGCTACACAACGCAATATAGCTCACAATGTCGCGACGAGTGATGGTGAAAAAGCGAAATTGCTGATCGATACATAGCGACGAACTCGACACAGCATCATATGTCAGATCACTTTTATTAACGAGCACCACAATGCGAACCGATCAGCGATCACGATTGCTCGCGCGTGTTAATGAAGTACGAATTGCATCAAATTATATGTAATCGATGAGCTAGAGTGCAACACATCGACGCGATGTCGTTAGATTCCTCGCAATTAATATAATACGCAGTGATGAACGTTGCGCATTCGTTATCGTGTTACACTAACGTAGTCAACGTGAATACGACAGATTAGGTGACGTAATACGGCGGCAGCAGTACGTTCGAGAAATGTTAGGGTACATTAAGCTCGTTCTACAATCATATAAGCTCGTTCTACAATCATATAAAGTCGTTATAGTTGTAAGAATTGACCAATCAAGTGGAGTATGAGAAGAATATTCTATCGTGATTGGTCAATTCTTGCAACTACAACCACTTACAGCTATACACTCAGAAAAAAGTTTTATTGATATGTGATCAACAAAAAGCTTTTCGTTGTCCTAACCAAAATTTGGTTATGCTAATCAAATTTTTGTTAGGATAACATAAAAGTTTTGGTTAGTCACATATTCTAACAAAAACTTTGGTTAGAATATAAAGGTTTGTGTTGGTCACATATCAACAAAACTTTTTTCCGAGTGTACGCTTATGCTATTGTAGAATAGGCTTTAAGTGCTATGAATGTTTTGATCTTTACTGAATATATCTCGTAAGTACATTTTTGTAAAAGACATATTTAGATGTTTATACATCGTAAATGTAAAACAAAGAAAAGCAACTTTGAACAATAAATGCTTTCCATTTGATAACACAAGTGTCGTTTTACCTTTGTTATTCATTGGAATGCCAAGAAAGTTAAAATGATGTTTGTATCGACTTGTGTCACTACATGAAGAACATCTAATTACGTCATATAAAATAATAAATTTAACAAAATAAAATAAATAGTATTTAATATTATGATATATTTTTAAAAATGAGGTTGTAGATTAAATAAAAATTCAAATGTTTTTGAATGAACTTATTTTATTGTCAATAGAATAATTTTATTTAATACAGATACTGATAAATGTATTACGATAGTATAGAAGAGTGATTTTATTACATTAAACAATAAGAATCTTATTTTAGACCGTACATGTGAGAACACAATCAATACTAGAAATTAAAATACCTATAATGATCGAAGCTGAATCTTTAATGTTTAAATAATTCAATGTGAATTATATACATACTATACATGTATGTATATGTACATGCATATATACCATATTTGTAGTCATTCGAACTGCGCGACGAATTGGTTTTCCGAATTTTTAATGCAATTAAACTACTATAATAATAGCACAAATTAAATTAAATTAATAAGCAATTTTTAAGAATTCGATGCTCAATCAGTTATCATATTAGAAAAATGTTAATGTGCTGAAAAACTAAATAAATTTATTTAATTTCCAATATGATGCCGGATTAAACATCGAATTATTAAAAATTGCTTATCAATTTAATTTAATTTGTAATATTATTACAGTAGTTTAATTGCGTTGATAAATTCGAAAAATCAATTCGGCGCACAGTTCGAATGACTATAAATATGGTATATATGCTTGTACATATACATATAGTGTATATATAATTCACATTGAATTATTTAAGCATTAAAGATGGTTTCGACCGTTATAGACATTTTAATTTCTAGTATACATTTATTACATTAATTTATCTTAAAAATATTCTTCAAGGTACCCTATGTTCTTTGTCACGTGAAATATCTCAAATATATCATAATTTCTTAGCAAGATTCCCGGACGATATTACTAGCGATTTGTACAAATACGATATGTATAATCTCTTATCGATTTAATAAATTAATTCTTGGCTGGCAGTGACTGATTGTAAGTCATTTGAAATCTAATCGATATTAGTTTTTAAAAATTATTTATATCTCCTCTTCATGTCATATAAAAAATCAAACTCAAAAACTGCTTTTTCCTACTATTATATCTAATATATATTTATATGCGAAGTGATCACTTTTTAATTATACAATATCATACGAGTCAAAAATGACACAGTCCTCCTCGGTTTTTTATTATCTGATTAATTTGTGGTTTAATTTTAACTTCACGATAATGTAAAAATTGTATTTATCTAGCTATGATTAATCGCTAATGGTATTTTACTGGTGACTTTAAAAGTTATTCACTACCATCAATGATTGAATATCAATTTAATGATTAACCATAGATAGAAGAGAGAGAGAGATAGAATACAACTTTTACATTATCATCAGATTAAGGGGGATGCTAAACTGATTACCGAACTTGATCGAGGTCGATAGTACAGACTTTTTTAATTCCAAATTCGATAATAGTGGTAACATCTTTGATTCATTTCTTACATTATATTATATAATATATATCATTTGTCTTACTCAAACGCATACATCTGTTCTTATTTAACATATGCCAGCACCATGTATCGCAAGACCGCGCAACTACTGCTACACGGAATTTCGGCTCTATTGACAGTCCCAGTCTTCGCAAAAGCACCTGTATACCGTACTTTCCATTCGGTGAGACGATACTTTTTTTCTAGATTTTCAATCTTAGTTCTACAAACTCGGTATCATTCGTTCCAATAATGTAATCTCAGCTGCACTTATTTTCAAGATATGGACTCTAAAACTCTTATATCAAGCAAATATATATCTGAGGTGACAGCTGTACGAGCCAAAAGTAAGTGAATTTTTTAACTTTTTTTCGATTTTCTCACAAAATCCAGTACAGCTAAGGTCCTACTTGTGCGTACTTTAATTTATGTAATAATACTTTTGCAATCCGTAAATTCAATTCGGAGATTTTTCACCGAATGGAAATGTGGGTAAAACAGAAGGCTTTAACATTGCCTTAAGTCTAATCACAAGTTAACCAGCAAATGAAAAACCGGACCTAAGAGTACGTCTTCCGAAGATTAAATGAAAAAAAATAAAACGCATTCAAGAGAAAAATATAAGAAAACATTGTTATTAATTTTTCGACAGATATTTGAGAAATGGCATGATGGGCGTCTTGTTTCTTGCACAACTTTTAACTCGATCCAATTTCGGATGTTTCTTAACGCGGACATGAATTATGTCCGTGTTCTTTCTCTGTTAGTACGACAATGCGGATTTCGGGATGGTCAACTTCCGACAAAGGCAACCAAACCGTCGTTCTCGCCTTCGTTTGTCGTCGTCGACAATAAGTTCGCACTAGCGGAACGCGTCTGGACGTAGGCCAACTACTTTTATGGGTTCGTACTGGCAACAACGTGCTTGTAGTAAAAGGAGTGTTCGCATCGACAACATGATTTGCCCGCGTTCGACCGTTAAAGATATACGGCGTGACTCGCGAAACCGATCCAACTTGCGCATCCCACATAAACTATTAGAGATAGCGAAACTGCGAGGGGGTTGATCGACGCGCATGACTGCAAAACCAATGTATATACATTGTATACATTACATAGAATCCAAAGAAGAAAGACAAAAAGAAAGTGAAAAGAGAAACAACGAATGTAACGGAGATATAGTCTTTAATATGTTTGAAAAGAATCTTGTTAAATTAAAGTATAAAAAATTTAAAACTGGCAAAGCTGTACGGTATCGCATCTCAAAACATTGCTAAAAGTATAACAATTTCGTAAATTATTCTATTATTAAGTCTGAATATCTGTGTAAAATTTGAGTACAGTTCTCTTATTGAATTAAATTATTTAATTTTTTTGTTAGAGAGAGAGAGAGAGAGAGAGAGAGAGAGAGAGAGAGAAAGTCTTGATTCTTATGTAAAATCTTATGTTAAATAAAATATTTTGTAGTACTTATTTGTAAATTTGATGAGAAAGTAACATTAAGAATTAAATCAAATTTTTAACTGATATATATTATATAATAATTAATATAATTTTATACCGATTAAACAGTAATAAATATTTATGCAAAAGTTTATTTAGATTCACTTATTCGTTTAAAGATTATTGACCTAAAACTGCCGAAAAATATAGTCATTTTGCTCTATAAAACCATTATAAGTAAAATTATTTGTTGTTTTGTCTTTTGTTAATTTCAAAGCATATTCACGGGCTATATACATGTATAATATCATCAAAATATTTGGAATGATATTGGCTGATATTAGCTTATTCTGACTGACCGACTGATATTTTTAGTTGATATCGTATAACCAAAATATCCTTAAAACACTAAATTAACTGGCATTAATGATATTTAATTAATAAGATTAAAATGTTAATCGGACTCTAAGATATTATACATACCTATAATAAAGAATTTTGTTAATATTGATTCGAATTGTTTGCAAAATTATTGATTTAATTGCTTAATTATTCATAATACGAATTAAATATTCAATTTTTATTAGCGTTTTGTGTTAAATTAAAAAAAAAATAAATAAACTAGAGCTTTCTATTGTTCTATTTTTAGTGTGGTACAAAAATATTTAATATACATGTACAGAAATAAGGTGGATAAATTCAAAATTAACAAATGGAGAAGAAGACATTAAAAAAAACTAATGCCTATGTGACTTGAAAATTATGTTTGGTCAATAAAGAGTAAGTATCTTTCTAATTGTAAGAGTAAATCTCTTTAGCCTTGACAACGTAACATGATTTTTTAAGATTAGTGTAAAGTATTTGTTAGTAGAAGATCTTAAGAAATTAATCTATGTTAATTTTTTCTTCCCCTTAGTAAAAAATTGTTAGTTTTAATTATGAATCTTTTGAGGAGATGTATTTAAAATTGCAGTAATATATTATATACAATTATACTCGTAAATAACTGGCCGATAATGTCTATGTATATCAGTTTGTAGTATTCCAAATTTCTACAGATTAGCAATTCTACAGATCAATACCCAGTGAATTAAGCACGAGGTATCTGAGATTTTACAGTTACATTACATTCACCACAATTTTTTATAATGCATTACGTTTCAAAGTAGAGCGCAAAACATCATTCGTTCGATTGCGAGTCTTTTTCCGTGCATTGGTGAACGCGCATGATTCTCTATGGAAATCGATATGGCCTTATCACGTTCCTCAGTATCCAAATCTCAATGCGACTCGAATCGGAACGAAATTCACTTATCATCGAGTCACGTTCGTGGGAAAATCTCAATGCTAGCAGCGCGCATTCGGACAAAGCAAAATCGAGACGAAGTACCGTGTACCCATGCCCGTCCGCCCGCTTGTCGAATCAAAGCGCAACAAACGAGCAACACGAGCTCGCATGCAAAACAACACGCCGAGGCGTGCCCGCCCGTTCGCCACGTCGTAATCCCTCACCGTGCAAATCGACGAATCGATCCACTTTGGGCTCACACGAGTCCTCGCATTCGCGCGCGGAATCCCGCCGAGAGGCTCAGCTCTACCGCCAGCAGTTGGGAAAAAGAGAGTATAGAGAGGACGAGAAAGAGAGAAGATTGTACCGCAGGAGGGGTTGATGGGGAAAAGAGACCGAGTAGTGTGTCACTGAGAGTACGATCAAGCGGCACTTCCGCTCTGGGAATTCTCGATATCTGAAGTTGAGATCGCAAATATCGAATGCGGAAAATCGCTGCTGAGAGAAGGTGCTGCGAGGAAGCGAAGGGGGTGGCTGCAAGAAGGGGGAAGAGGAGCGGACGATCGAAGAAAAATTGTGGCGAACGATGGGGAGGTAAAAGCGACGAGTTCTTCCTTTTCGCTTCCTGCCTTCCAATGCTACTGGGTGTCCCAACGACGGCACAACGGGAGATACTTGCATCGCGTCGACGATACTGTGAAAAAAAATATATTGACGCAAAAAATGTTTCGTTCTATTAAGAGCGTTGAAAAAATTGATAAGAATGAGAAAAACTATTTTTTAAAAACCGAGCTCCTTTATATCGTATATAACATATTACTAACAGTGCTTAAATAATTAATATCTTTTCCATTTCTATAAATTAAGAAAATTCGCTAATTAATATTGCGAAATGAACATAAATTCGTATGAATAACCGAATGATGTTTTATTTTTAAAAATATCGATATCTTTTGTAATGGAAAATAACACCGCATTATACATATATGTAGTTAGTGCTCTACAACTCATGTCCCTTTTTTTACCAATGTATTATATAAAATTAATTTACTCTTTATTCTTTTCTAATTCTTAGAATTAGAGAAAGATAAAAAGTAAGTGAAGTTAAAGCAAGATTACAGTTAATTTAGATTAATAGAAACAGGCATTACGGACTTAATGACAAATCTACATTGGTTATAGAAACAGGCATCACAGACTTAATGATAAATTTTTCGAATTGGTGTATAGATAAATAATAACGATAGAATCGCCATTGATTGTTAACACGACGTTGGCTTCCGGAACACCCCGTGTATGTACCGCGATGGTGACCGTCGCGAGGATGACAGAGAGAAAACGGAGCGAGCGTTGCACGCGGGGTTTCGGTAGGAAACGGAGGAAATATCAGCGAGATAGGTACAAATACGGTGCTATATATGACAGTTTGATGTATAGTTGAATTTTTATGCCGGCGAGAGATGTTATTGCCGCGTCACAGGATGAATCTCCGATACGTCGGGCCGAGGCTGCGAGGAAAGTTGGCAGTGGAATCGATATCCCATGATTTATGCCTAGATTGAGTTTTTCCGGCGTTACCACGGCTACTTCCATCGGTTTCTCTCTCTCTCTCTCTCTCGCCTTCCTATTTCTTTCTCTTTTTTTCACGATTGAGATTTGCTGAAAAATCCTTAGCATGTCTCACCACAGATCGTGAAATCGTACGTTTTTTTATATCAATGGGGACAACTCGCGATCTGATTTTTTTTACAATAAGCACTTACGAAAGGACATGTAATGATATTTTCACTTGCAAAGATATTTTCGAAGTCATCGCATGTTAGAAATACTTCTGTAAAAAGAACTTATTGATATCCATCCTTTGTGTAACAACCAGAGAATAGATATTCAAGTAAAGAGGTTAATGTAATATAAATGTTTATATATATAAATGCATTATCGTAGGTCGTAAAATTCCTTGTATATAATTTATCATAAAACACCACGTTAGCACCTATAATGACTTATACAACATCTATATAATCTCGATTTATGCGGTTTATCCATCTCCGATATGAAAGCGTTCTCTGATAGAGCATCAACTAATTTCGAAACGGCAATTACGTTTCACGTCGAAACTGTTGACGAAATAAAATAGGATAGAAGCAAGATAGCTCTCGTCTGAGAGATTCGTACTTTATTCCGAAACAGGTTATATATCAATTATCGGTGTTGCACAATTCATGGTTTCGCAAAGTGTCTTGTTTAACACTACAACAATAAATAGATCTTTTTGTAAATAGCCTGGGAAAGAATAGCCGAACAATCGATAGTACTTGGACAGTATAAATCCTGCCTTATCGCGATGTATACTTTTCGCTCGCGGGCTACAACCAGGTTGTATACACCATGGCAGGTGTGGAGGAGAAATTCGAGAGAGACTTTATCAAGCACTCTCGATATCCGAAATCAGGGATCGCGTATGCAGATTTATGAAAAAAGAAAGCCCCCAGCGTGCTTCGTCTGCGTACCGCACCGCGACTTATCTCGCATACGAAAAATACGTGCTCGATCAATGCAATGGCCATCGACAAGGTTCGCATGCATATATCTCGCGCGAAGGTAGAAAAAGATTGAAAATCGTTTACTCGTTGATAATAGATCGTTTAACATGTTAACTGCAGCGACGAAATAGCTTACGGAAGCACTGGCTCTGCGTGAAGATTAATACGAAACTATAAATCGTGAGATATCGTTTCCATTTTTTTGAAGAATTACACATGAATTATTGCCATCGTAAAATAACAATCTAGGAGACTATAATAAGATACATTTCATTAGAACTCTGTACTGTTAAACTCATAATGTCAAATTAAATTGTAAATTCAAGTAATTTTTAATCAGTTTTATAGGTCGCCACTGTTCCTATATTCAACATGTCATTAAATTTAATGGATAATAATTCTAAAATTATAGAGTTAAACAATTTAAC